AATTATGACTGGTCAATAGTCCGATTAACAACCAATAGCTAACTGCGTAACAATATCATTACGCTTTAAACAGAGGACCAAATATGTTTACATAACGTTACGTCATGACTCGCGATTTTATTATGTCCAATTAACCAGTGCATAGCAGAATATTGCAGAAAAACTAATTGCGTGACAAACGAGGCTATCAACACGGATACAATGTATACAATACTGTATGGAGACGAACAATACTTTCACCGTTTTTAATACCTTAAATCACCGTCCAAAGTTTTATGGAAGACCCCAGAATAAACGAAGGGCTGTCATGTTACTGTACATGGGATAGATTTGATTGAACGGGAAGAATAGACACACTCACTCAAAAGCTCGAGTATCAGAAGCCAATCCAACAATGGCCAGAGAGGGATTTCCCGGGCGTGCCATTGTTTCAGGAATATGACTTTATATATTATTTCCTACAATATTTAAACGTTTATATACTAACATAGTACCGTTTATAAATAAACCCAATATGATGTAACCGTTAATAAACTAACATGGTTTCACCGTTTATATACCCAATATGATATAATTGTTTATATACCTTTATATATGATGTAACCGTTTATATACCCAATATGATGTAACTGTTTATATACCTTTATATATGATGTAACCGTTTATATACCTAATATAATGTAACCGTTTATATACCTTTATATATGATGTAACCGTTTATATACCCAATATGATGTAACTGTTTATATACCTTTATATATGATGTAAGGGTTTATATACCTAATATAATGTAACCGTTTATATACCTAATATGATGTAACAGTTTATATTCCTAATATGATGTAACTGTTTATATACCTAATATGATGTAACCGCTTATATACTTAATATGATGTAGTCGTATTCGAAACGAAATGAGAGAGAGAGAAATGGGGTTTAACGTCCACTCGACACAAACCAGGTCATTTCGGGACTAACACATGTTTCAATTTTATTTCAATAAATCGCTTGCGCTTAGGGGTCTTTAGCAGTGGGAGGAAACCGGAGGACCCTGAGAAAAACCACGAGGTTGGACAGGCCGAAACGAAATGAAATATCAAAACAAAATATTGTGACATGATCCTTAAAATGGTGAAAAGAATACCGGAAGCCTGTATTTACCTGTTCTTACAAGTAATTACTGAATTATAATTGATTCCAATTTTGTTGATGCTATTTGTTTTATCAAGATGCAGCAATAATATTGATTTTTTCAAATAAATATTTTATTTTATTTCCTTTCGTTTTGACAGTTTGTTATATCACGATGCAACAATAATATTGATTTTAAAAAAAAATTATGTACTTTCGTTTTGTTTTTATAGTTCATCTTCAGTCTAATTTTATTTGATGAACCATCATTGATTATCAATATCAAGTACAGGTGAATCGTACTAATAGTTTGCATCACCTATCGATTATTATATTTCATTAAAAAATACTAGACACAGGTAGGTGTGTTTTTACCTTTGGCTGAATTTTTTAATAATAAAATGTTATTATTAAAGTCTTGGAATTTATACAGTATTAGATAGATTATATAAACGGTTTCATATAGGCATACAACCGGTTACATCATATTAGGTATAGAAACCGTTACATTATATTAACTATAGAAACATTTATATATTAGGTATAGAAACATTTACATATATATTAGGTTACATTATATTAGCTATAGAAACATTTATACATTAGGTATAGAAACGGTTACATTATATTAGGTATAGAAAGTGTTACATCATATTAGGAATATAAACGGTTACATCATATTAGGAATATAAACAGTTACATCATATTAGGTATAGAAACGGTTACATTATATTAGGTACAGAAATTGTTACATCATATATAAAGGTATATAAACAGTTACATAATAATAGGTATATAAACGGTTACATCATATATAATGGTATATAAACAGTTACATCATATTAGGTATATAAACGGTTACATTATATTAGGTATATAAACGGTTATATTATATTAGGTATATAAACATTTACAGAAACTGTTACATCATATTAGGTATATAAACAGTTACATCATATTAGGTATATAAACAGTTACATCATATTTAAGGTATATAAACGGTGACATTATATTAGGTATATAAACGGTTACATTATATTAGGTATATAAACGGTTATATTATATTAGGTATATAAACGGTTATATTATATTAGGTATATAAACATTTACAGAAACTGTTACATCATATTAGGTATATAAACAGTTACATTATATTAGGTATATAAACCGTTACATTATATTAGGTATATAAACGATAGGGCCTATATATCGTGTAAGGTATATATATATATGAACTTTTACATTATATTAGGTATATAAACGGCATATAAGGGAAAGTGATTGTAAATAAATTGTTCTGGGAGTATTAATACATGGTTAGCCAGAAAGCATTTGGTTTTTATGGTTATTTCTAGATAAATGTAGAATTATATAATTCCGCCCACTTTCTCCGTGAAAATAGACTTTGAATAAAACAGATGACATGTTGTCTCTATGCAGAGAAGAGAGAGAAATGGGGTTTAAAGTTCACTCGACACAAACTAGGTCATTTTGGGTCTGACAGATGGTTCAATTTTATTTCAATAATTCGTCGTTGTTGTTGTTCTTAGTGTTTAACGTCCGCTTCCACCGAGGGTGATATCGCAGACAAGGTTTCATTCCTGTGGGAGGAAACGGGAATACCCGGAGTAAACCCACGAGGCGCTCCTATCTCCAAGCCACAAACGCTCCCACCATGCATTGAAATCATGACCGCAAGCCAGAGGTGACTGGCCAGCTAGAGGTCGAAGCGCCACACCCTAGACCACTAGGCCACCCCAAGCAGGTTACCAATCAAGCCAAGATTTCATGGTTTTTCTGATTATTGTTGAATGTGCCTACATGTATATATAGCGCTTTCACATTTTTCTTCATTTGTAAATTTGTATGCTTGATAAAAACCAGTGAAATCTTGTCAAAACGTCGTGTGTATATAATATAGTGATTGCTATCCATAGAACTGTGTTGTGTTATATTATTTTGTCATTGAAAATTCCTCAATTTTGTTTCTAAACAAACTTAGATTAGATTTCTGAAAGAAATTCCAGTGTCCTCTTTGCTTTATTTGATATTTATTAACGCAGGGTTATTTTATTTGTGTGGGGTCACGGTGGATAAGTGGGTAAGACGCTGGCTCGCTACTCTGGAGGTCGGGTGTTCATCCCTGCATTGACCAAGAAAGTTCATCCAGATTTTCCGACGTGGTCCCCCCTTGTTAGTGATGCAGGACGGAGGGACTGATACGGACAGCTGTCTAGGTCCCGTGTACAAATGGGCGTGCACGCAAAAGATCCCTTGGCAGTTGGAATTCGATATAAGATTAGGCCGTAGAGCCGCAGCCAGGGCAAAATTTCCCTCATAGCACACTGTATGGCGTATGCCCGTCTTCATTAGCCCAGTTCGGAGCAGAACAGTATGACGTTAAACCCCCATTTCATTTCATTTCATTTATTGTATTTGTGAACTGTATTTAAGTCCCAAACAGGATCAAGTCTAGCAGGTTTATGTGAACTGTTGATTCTTGATCACTAGCATGGTCGTATATCTCATTATAATATGCATCGTGTTTAATATTCCTTCCCTGGTTACAAGTACTTTCCTAGTGGCTACAATTCCTTCCCTTAAATTTGACATTTCTTCCCTGGGAACTAACCTTCCCGCCAGAATGTTCCAGGTTTGGATCCCAGTGCTGCCCAAAAGACCCATTGGGATGTTTCAAACATGTATAACATGTTCGGGGTTACACCGAAATGACTGTCAAGGACAGTCTACCCATGTACATGCAGGTGTGTACGTAAAAGAATCCTTGCAGGTTGGAATTCGATGACCTGATTGGAATAGCCGCTTTTTCATTGGCTGTTTACAGTACACAGGCAAGAACACGATGTCCTGCGGTAAGATGTAAAATATGGAATGTAGAATGAACGAAAATTAAAGAAAAGCCCTGTGAGATGTTAATGCTTATGGAAAATCCCCCATGACGAATTCATTTAGGTTCCTTCGGGCCAATCCAAACATTGATTAGTAAAATTAATACCGGTACAAAATGATACAATCACTAGTATCTTCGAAAAAAAAGAAGTCTGATTGGGTGGTTGGTTGGCCAGTGGTTTAGAGAGTACGCTTTGGTCTGGCATTGAGTCAACTCGCGTTCTTTCGATTCTCATATTGGACGTCTAATTAAACTCATCCCTTTCTCTCTCATCCCCCTCTCTGTCTCTGTCTCTCTCTCTTTCTTTCTCTCTTCGTACATTTTAAAATTATTTTTTCGGAAACTGCGTATCTTTAAGGTCAACTATCTTCTATAAAATACAACTGTTAGTCACGTGTACAACAAGAGCTATAACTATCATATAACTTGCCAGACCGCCCAGAAAATGGCATAAAGGGTCTATAAAGAACAATTTATTGCCAGGTGAAGTGTGCTTCGCCTTTACTATTCAATCGGAACACAGAGGTGGATTTGAACGTTAAACACACCCGTACGTATGTTTTATGGTTGTATCGTTACGATTTAAATAATTATAAATGCAATTAGTTAAATGAAGAGAATATCGCTTCTTAAAAATTGTGCTCCGATAATAGGTTGTCGATCAAGTTAATATTGTCATATAAAACGAAAGAGGGTTCTATCAGAATTCGCAACAAGTTACAATAATGCTGAAAATAACGATGTTCGCCTAATGCCCTTCTGTACATACTAATAAATTATAAACCTTATCAATGATTCAGATATATGCAGTCATACAGCAAACGGAAATGAAACTTAATATTCAGTAATCGTATTTACAAAAATGACAATTTCCGAAAATTTGTATTAGACATTAAGGGAGTGAAATTAACAAACCGACCTTTAACCTATGACACATGACCATACAGAGCAGAAGAAATAAAACTGAACCATTTCGACGATACAACCATTTTATTCGGGGCACGTTTCTTCATACAGCACCAGCCGCAGAGGAATCATATTTTCATCAAACATGGAATCCATCATTAAATTTCTAGTTTTCATTGCCTTATTAAGTAAGTGTATTTCAATTAATTTTTTTCTCATATAAATTAATTTTGGGTTAGTGTAAGTCGACATCTTTCTGAACATAGATATTGTCTATGGGAACAGCGTCTTTTCGGACATTATTTTCAGATTTTAACATGCAAGTCATTTTTTAATTAGAACAATAATGTCAGTTTATTGGTAGACTTAATAATGCTTATTTCTCGAGGTATATTGCCGAGACAAAGTTTAATTTTTTTTGTTACAGTTTGAAGATAACACTTGACAGATACTAAATTTAACCGAAAGTTGAATTAAGTAGCTCCTTAAATATACATTATGCAAGAGCTAAATCTGCCAATTGTAGGTCTTTCTTTAGGCCTGAAATGTTATCTAAATTATTAATTAGACATTTATTAACTTATAATCAACCCTCGATGTCATCGCTAGCCTACGATGTTCATTGGACTTCATTCATACTTTAAACATGAAATGGATAACCGAGACTATGTTTTTATCGTACCGACTTTAGTAATGATGATCAAGGCTAGACCGAAAATTCAATCGCTAAATTTTCGGTTTAGAGTGGATCAATTTGACTGATATTTGGATGATCGAGACTATGTATTTTATCGTACAGACCTTAGTAATGATGATCGAGACTAGGCTGAAATTTGAATCGCTTAATTCTCGGTTCATAGTGGGTCAATTTGACTGAATTTTTAGCAAATTGCCTTTACATTATCTAGTTTTTAACTATTATAGTGAGAACTACCAGCTCTTTATCTTATCTTCCATAATGTATCTTTAATAACAAAGCAATATTCACTTATAGTAAAATAAAACGTTATCCGAGAATATTTTTTACTATTTTGAAATATAAAATTTTTTTGGGTTGGATGGCGGAATGTTTAGCGCGTGCGCGTTGAATCATAAGGTTTGTCGATATTGCATTAAAAAATGGGGGGGGGGGCGAATGGTTAGTGTGTGCGCGCTGCATCATTAGGCCTGTCATTGGGCCAACTGGCGTGGTTTCGAATCCCCGGTTGTACGTGACAAGGAGTAGGGTCGCCTGTTCAATCTCGTGGGTTTTCTCCGGGTCCTCCGATTTCCTCCCATTGCTAAAGACCCCTACGGGCAAGCGTTTTATTGAAATAAAATTAAAACCTTGTTAGTCCCGAAATGACATAGTTTGTGTCGAGCTGACGTTAAGCCCCATCTCTCTCTCTCTCTCTCTCTCTCTCTCTCTTACGATTTGGGGACTCCCTGTTTTAGTCTACTCCAGTAAGTTTTAACAGTGTCGAAGGTAAAAGTATGCAGAGAATTATTATTACAACCGACGAAATGTGTTAGAGCTGGTTTATTTAAAGTCTGATTAAAATACAGGTGCGCATCTTTAACTTACAACGATAGATTCCATGGTATATCAACTAACTATAGTATAGAATGTCCAGAATGTCTAGTATAAATAATTTACTTAATTTCCCAGAGTTTATTGCTCTGTTTATTGTAATTAAACTAATGAATGGTGTATTGAGGTAAGTGATTGACAAACCACTCGGAAACCATCGTTTATATAGGATATAGCTTTAGACACCATATAGCACCTTTGTGGATTTCAGTACTTAACAATTCTCACGATAACATAAATGATCCATTGTGATTTTTGAAGTGATGACGTTAATCTAGACTACTAGTGATTCGGTGCCCCCCCCCCCTCCGTGGCGCCTATGGGGTTGCCAAGGAGTGTATGTTCTTCAATATTGGACGAAAATATGAACCAACTGGCGCGTAAAAGACTCCTTGTTAGTCGGAATTTGAAGGAGAGTAGGCAGAAACAAGACTGTCAAGGCAAGTCGGGCAAAATTCCCCATCTTGTATTGCATACGTAACCATAGAAATAAAAATACCATATGTTAGTCTCAGTATGACCGAATTATGTATTAACGACACGTTAACCCTATCTCTTTCCTTTCTTTCCTTAACAGTTGACCAGGGCCTTTAATCATATTAAGTCCATGCCTTCTTGTTTCAGGTGTGTGTTCATCCCAGTTTACCTGTACTACCCTGCCCTCTGATCTAACTAAATGTGGCACTGATCATCTAAGTAGTAAAATGCCTGAGTTAGCTGAGATGCTAACGGGCACCACAGACTTTATAGCTCTAGCGGTTTTAATACCACACTGGAAAGACATGTGTATGTAAGTATAATCAATGACTAACTGCCGCTGCATGATACACCTGAAGTTGGGCGTAAGGTCTTAAATGCAGATCTATATTTCGTTTCGTTTATTTATACTTTCGATGGCATCCACTATACAAAACGAAACGAAATAGGGTCTGTGTTCTAATCAGATTGCGTCTACTCAACATTTGGTAATTTATTAATTCCCATGACCGAAAATAGTTTTAGGAGGGAGAGGAAACGACTCGGAACAACCCTTGGATCTTCAGTTGATCGTTGATCATGCCACTGGCTCATTAATCAGAGGTCCCAGGTTCTATCCCGGTATTTGCTAAGATATTTCCAGGTTCGATCCCGGTGTTAGCTGAGATATTTACAGGCTCGATCCCGGTGCTAGCTGAGATATTTCCAGATTTCCACTGGTCATTTTCACAGACAAGCCATGATGGATAACACTGTCGCATATCGGATCAGCAATTCCCTTTTTTTTTCTAAAAGTACCATTTCTCTATTTTTGTACTTGTAGGTATTCAAGTGATGTGAAGGATTTCTTTACTTGTAGTTTCAATGCTATAGAAAACTGTGCGGAAAGTGACTTTATAGGAACATACCCAACAGCTAGTCGATTCATTGAAGGTTTTGATTATGCTTGTAGCAAGGTTAACGGTAAGGTTTTATACAATACAATACAGTACAATACAATACAATACAGTACAGTACAGTACAGTACAGTACAATACAATACAATACAATACAATACAAATAGGATAAAGGAAATAGAACATCTTTATCGCTGTCTGTAGAATCGTTTTGGGAGGCTCTATCAATTTTAACCACTACAAAAATATATATTTTGATTATGCGATGAAGATATATTTTGATAATGCTATATTTGGCGTTGTAAGTTATTTAAAATGAATAAGTGAGTTGTATAATAATTATACCATTATATCGATGCTTTCATGTAGTATTTTGTGCTTTTATTTTAAAATGAAAGTAGTGATGTATACTAGTCAGTTCTATTCACCAGTAATAACATAAGAATGGTAAGCAGTTAAGTGATGTGAATGAAACATAATATTCTATATACCAACAAGAGAAATTGTAATTACTAAGTACTTAGCGCATTGCGAGATCAGAATACAAATTCGTACGTGATGTTCTTAAGTTTTCACGTTTCATCTCGGCAGAGGTTTGTTGTATGGCATAGCGTATTTGAACTCGGCCGAGGACTGGGGGAAGTTAAATCACCCAATGGGCGTCCTCGCTAGAGAGAAGGGGCGTAATTTATAGGTGAGACAATAGAGCAGGTGGTCCCACGTGACCTCATTGTTTACCTTACAGCATTACGTGGAACCGAATTTTTACTAGTAACGCCTGGTGGGGATTTTTTCAGCGAGAACGCCCATTTTTGGGCCATTAAAGAAAACAATGAATTCCATTTTAATTCAATATATAAAGTCGTATAGTCACCCATGTCCGATCTTCGGTCTATATCTCCGTAATTTCAAGTTCAAGGTCATACAAACTGTAGAAACTATACCCGAGGAATAAGTTTATTGATTTCCAAAAATTTTGAATGTTACGCTTATGAAGATGGTGTTGATTGCAGAAGTCGCGCCATTTTGAGGCCAAACCTTGTTAACCCACCAGATGACACAATTTTATTATCTCTGTTTTATTGATGGGTGTATGTTTTATTGTCTGGCAACCTATTTTTGTAATTTTTTAGATGTGGACATCGGCTGTTATCAAATCAATCAAAGAGCTATTCACGAATGTGCCATCACTGCTGCAGGGAGCCCACCCACATCAGATGTTATAAAAGATATTGTAGAGCACAACTGCCGGTATGTATACACCCGATCCACTTCCGGGATACCCAAATTTAAAGGCTGTTACATCCGGTTCGTTGTGCGTCACTTATTACTGGAAGCAGTCATATTAAGTACTATTATGTGTGTATGGAGGCAGACCACCATTAAATTTCATCATCTCGGTACCCACGAATTGTAGTTCGTCTATTTATAGCAATTCTCTCTCTCTCTCTTTTCTCCCCTTTTGCATGCCCATTTGTGTTGATTTTTTGGTCTAGAATGGATGAAGAGGGTTTGAATTAACATTTTCTGCCAGGTTTTGGTAAATATTCATGATTTTGAGGCGGAAGGATAAGAGGGTTATCAGGTTAGCTACGGCGATATGTACGGCAACTAGTTACATGATTTTAGTATGCTTCTTCAAGTTTGTGTATCTCAAAATTTTGGTGGTCAACCTCATACAAATTTTAGTGCAAAGACATGACCTTTTGTTCCTCTGTCTGTAGTGGAAAGCATTCAGCCCAACGAAAATTTGGGGAAAAGTTGGAGGTGGGCAAAGAGGCCAGAATTAACATTGAAGTCAATGGGGAAATTAATGGTGGTCTGCCTCCGTATAAACTGTTCGAGTTATCCCCCTTCGTTCTTTATTTAAACATTCAGAACCAGTAAAATGTGATATGCCTCAAGCATGGGAAAGGTGGATGCAAGAGTTAAATCTGCCTATTGCAGGTCTTTCTTAACTTGCTCGTGATTTTCAAGGAATTTAAAAACGATTGGCGGTTAACGATTTAAATAAAAACATGGACAATCGAGAGTTTCTTTACTATCGTAAGAACGGTAGCAATGTCAATCGAGACTCCGGTATTCTCCAAAAAGCCCTAACGTCGCTCAAAATGAAATAATTTGACTTAACTTTTCAGGATATTTCTTTTTTCCATTATCTGGTTTTTAATTGTTGTAGCGAGAAATGTCAGCTCTTTATCTAAATCTTACATCATGCATCTATCTATATTTTAAAAAAAGCACGATAGGTTATCTTGCGCAAGATACGATTTGCCTACTACCTGTTTTGTTTAAGTTTGAAATAATGTTTCCTTTTATAGACATATGATTACAATACGGAACTTTTTTCAGAATCTTTGAAGCAGAAGTGGAATGTACTAGCCGATCAATGACCACCTGTGAAGATAGTAAGAATATAATAGAAACATATCTGGAATATCTCGCACGACCTGCTTGCAGCGCCGCCATCTACTTCCGGCCAAGTCTAACATTGTCCGCCATTATGATTTTTGTAGCATATTTTATGAACAAACAGTGATTTTCTTTTACTCGCCTTAGATGTTAGACTGGGTAGCCTGCTATCCTACGTACGTCAAACGTGCTTCTACGTCAAAATCATAGAAATATATACATAGAATAAACCCATGACGTATTGCCTGAGCAATGGTCACGAATCAAATTAGCTTAGCCGGAGCAGAACAGCAGAACGCTAAACCCCATTTTATTTCATTAAAATGTTCTCTCTTGAAAATCGAGGGGTTGGATGGCCGAATGGTTAGCACGTGCGCGCTGTATCATAAGGCCTGTCATTGAGACAATTGGCGTGGTTTCGAATCCCCGGTTGTACGTAACAAGGAGTAGAGTTGCCTGTCCAACCTCGTGGGTTTTCTCCGGGTCCTCCGGTTTCTTCCAACTGCTAAAGACCCCTACGTGCAAGCGAATTTTTGAAATAAAATTAAACCATATGTTAGTCCCGAAATGACCTAGTCTGTGTCGATTGGACGTTGAAGTTAAACCCCATTTCTCTCTCTCTCTCTCTCTCTTGAAAAACATGTTTGACTGTATTTTCGACAGAGTTTCACGCAACGTCATGTAGAGCCGGTTACCCAGTCCACTTTAGATGTAACCAATATCATATATTCATTTCATTTACATTTCTCTCGTATGAATATGATAATGACGAGATAAATTGCTGTCATACTGCATTCTTCTCATATATAATTTAAATAACCCATGTAACACGTATGGCATAATAAATTAAAATTTAAAACAGAAATGATTAGTTGGGAATTATATGAAGATTTGTTTGGTTTTTTCTTATAATTATTCACTGGCGTTCAGTGCCGGACTGGGTCCACCTGTCCACCTGTCCGTGACAGGTGGGCCTAAGCTCATTAAAAAAGGTGGGCCTAAGCCTATAAAGAAAAAAGAAAAAAAGAAAAGGGGGAGGACAAAAAAGAAAGACGGAAGGAGAGGACAGGATACTTGTGTGGGCCTTGGTCAATGACCTGACAGGTGGGCCTTCGGCACACCAGTCCGGCACTGCTTGCGATAAATAACAATGAACTCCGGAAGTAGACACAACAATTAGTCTGTACGATTGATATGAATATTCTATGAAAAGTGATTAACAGGTTCTGGGTGACCGAAGCTAAATTGTGATCAAATTCATTCGTCCCGGTAAGTGAATGTGATAAGGGTTTAAAATCGTAAGGTTATAAAACAATGTTAAAACATTTCAAGTAAAACTGTCTAATATATTTTTCAGGTGGTACTAGCTTATCACCTTCTCTTCTCTTCTTATCTTAGGAGCCACGGTGACTCAGTGATTAAGGCGCTTGCTCACTAATCAGTGGGTCCCAAGTTCGATCTCGGCGTTGACGGAGAAAGTTTAAAGTTCCATTGTACCCGAACTGACAAAGTTGGCGTTTGTTACCCCCCCCCCCCACTCCCACTTCTGGGCCCCTAACCGCACCCTTTCCATTGAACGCAATACGAAACCAACGACCAACATGCCCATATCAGTATAGTATGGGCGCCCCATAAAGCCGAATGACATTGGTTGGCCTGCCACCCCTTAAAATTTTATTACACTATAAGGCATAGTTATTGTAAACTGCTACTAATAACATTCTTTCAACATTATCAAGCTATAACGTGTCATTTTGGGACTGAAATGAAATGAAATGGGGTTTAACGTCCTACTGTTTTGCTCCTAAACTGGGCTAATGAAGACGGGCATACGCCATACAGTGTGCTACGGCCTACTTTCATGTCGAATTCCAACTGCTAAGGGATCTTTTACGTGCACGCCAATTTGTACACGGGACCTCGGTTTTTCGTCCCATCCGAGCGACTAGACAGATGTCCTTGTCAGGCCCTCCGTCCTGCATCACTGACAAGGGGAAACCACGCCGGAAAATCTGGATGAACTTTCTCGGCCAATGCAGGGATCGAACACCCGACCTACAGGCTAGCGAGCCAGCGTCTTACCCACTTAGTCACGTGATCCCCCATTTTGGGACTGATCGCCAATCAAATGTGGACGTTTGTCTGCGGTATCATATATATTCGGGTCGTTGCACTGGAATGACTTCTAATATTCTGTTACACAGAATTTAACCGACGTATTTACCAATACTAAACTTACGCTGTCTGTCTACAGACACTTGGGAACAGACACTAAGCTAGTTGACCGACATTTTAATTCCTAAATCGACGATTTTGGTGGAAACCACTCAGTGTTCTTCGCGAATTTTGAAGAGTATTTATTACGTTTCCATTTAATAAACTAGAAAAGTTTTACTTAGTCTTTTGTATGTTGGACAGATGTGAAACGGGGTAGAGCCGCAATACAAAATTTTAGATATGGTAGCGGCAATACTATATACAACACCGATGTTTTCCGGTGTTTTGCGGTTTTTCCGGCGTTTTCCGGTATATAGTATAGCCCTATGGTGGCGATTCGGGGAGAGATCTATTCTCGATATAAACTTCGCGAATTTTGAAGAGAATTTTATTTCGTTTCCATTTAATGTATGTTAGATAGATGTGAAACGGGGTAGAGCAGCATATACAAAATTTAAGATATGGTGGCGATTCAGGCATAGATCTATTGTCGAAGTAATTAGTTCTCTGTGTGCAGAGTGTATAATTACTAAGACTGAATTCGTACGTGATACTTCTCATGCTGACTAATAATGTCATTTGGATATTTTGTTTTATGACGATATTCAATTTGAACCAGGAAGAAACATAAATGATAATATCGAACTACACGGGCTTGAATTAAACATCTGACAGGCTATTAAATATTAAATATTTATCACATAACCTGTCGAGTGTCACATTGAAATTTTATGATTTTATTTAACTTATACTTTCTCAATGATGTGTAAATATACTATTGACACGCATGCTCATTAGGATTATGATACTGTGCTATGAGGTTAAGCGATTGGCCAAGCATAATCTAGAACAGTATACTACGGAAGACCATTAGGATCAAATAAAAAAATAAAATATTATGGGTATTTTGCAATTAATTATTATTATTATTATAATAAATTATCATATAACATGTTCAGGGGCATTTTACAAAGTGACAATGTAATCATAAATAAACAACAAGATTATGGACATGTTAACAGCTGTATGTATACAGAGTCAGTTAAAAGCCTGATTAAATAAATGTGTTTTAAGTTGTTTTTTAAAAGAATGTAGAGATGTACATCTTAAGAGTTAATTATCATCTAATTACGAGATTGACACTGACAATATACGCCCAAAACAAAACATAAATATTCCATCAAAAATAGTACCCCAAATGGTGAATGGTTCTAGAACGAGTAACTATACCCACATCGTGCACGGCCGCCGTCATAAATATTAACAAGAGTTTCAGCTGAGATTTCAGAAGCCAAGGCTACTTGGTCGAAGCCACCATCGCCACCATCGCCACAATAGACACCAGTAGTGTTCGCGAAGTATACTGAGTGGTTTTGACTAAAATCGTCGATTTATGACTCAAAATGTCTGTCAACTAGCTTAGTGTCTGTTCTGCAGCAGGAGCGTATTGTAGACAGACAGCCTTAGTTTAGTATGTCATTGACCAAGTTATGTTTATTCAAGCCCGGTTCCCACTTGCCAGACATTAATTAAGACTTCGAAGAGGACGGTCGCACTTTTAACACAGTGAGATTCACCCATCCGTAACCGTTTTTAGGTTTTCAATTTTTGTTGAAATGGGGCCTGAAATTGCTATTTGGAGGATGCAAATTAGCTGTTGTCGATACAAAAGTGCATCTTTGAAGACATATGTTGGAATTATTCGATAGAATAATAGGATTATGACACTTTTGATAATCTCCACGCTGGTATTGCTGTTATCGGGTGATATCGAGAGTAATCCAGGCCCTTCTACCCGTCAAGGTCAGATCTCAAGGACCGGAGATATTGTTTATCCACAGGACAAAGATAAGGATTTAGACCTTATGACTGTGCTTCAATCATTAAAAGGTGATATAGCCGATATGAGACAAGAAATGCGAGATATGAATATTAAAGAAGAGTTTCTTAAACTAAAATCGGATGTGCATGACATGAAAACGAATTTTGTTAACTTCGGCTCAAAACTGGATTCACTGGAAAATAAAGGCAAAGAGAAAAATATTATTATCTATGGAATAGCAGAAACAGGCGATAGGAATGAAAATGGAGAAGAACTGGTAAGGAATATTTTGTCTGAGGAATTTAATATTGAAGGTTGTAAGAGTGACAAAGATATTGGGATTGAACGAGCTCACCGAATTGGAAAAAGAACGCCAAACGCAACAAGACCAAGACCTATGTTAATAGTGTTAAATAGATTAAAAGACCGAGACACGATTTTACGAAGTTGTAGACTACACCTCAAATCATTTGACTCTAATTTGAGAGTCGGAGAAGATTTCAGTGAACGAGTTCGAAAAATCAGAAGAGCGCTCATACCTAAGTTGAATGAAGTTAAGAAGAATGATCAAAATGTGAGAGCGTATTTGAAATTCGACAAGTTAATAGTTAATCAAGATGTGTATACGTTCGACCTTGAAGCCGAAAAGATAATAGTTCTAAGTGAAAACAACAAATAGCAAATCACATCACATCCGGAAGTTTCTGAATTTTATTCGAGTGTTAAAAAACTAAAATGTGTCTGTTGGAACGTAAATGGACTAAAGAGTAAATGTAAATTTGGCGATTTTAAACATTATTTGAGCCAATTTGATGTTATATGTTTAATAGAGACATGGTGTGGAGATGACTTTAAATATGATGAAGTTCTTACAGATTATAAATATGAAGTATGTATTCGAGGAAATGGTAAAGAAAGGGGTGGGTTAGTCGTGTACTTCCGAGAAACTATATCAGCTGGTATTGTTAGAATAAAGAGTTGTTATACAGAAACTATACTTTTGAAATTTAATGCTGCCTACTTTGGTTGGGAAAAGGATGCAGTGTTCTGTTTTGTTTATATTGCACCTGAAGGGAGTAAAGTACACACGAATGGCTGCCTGTTTGAACAATTTGAAGAAAACTTAGTTGAAGTTGAAAGTGAATATCCTGATGTAAATTTTATATTGGCTGGGGACTTCAATTCCAGATGTGGCCAGCTGAAAGATTATATATTAGATGATAACATAGAATATTTACCGGGTCTCGAAGATGCTGAATACAATACTGACGGTTTTGACATTCCAAGAAATTCGCAGGATAATGAAGTTAACAAATTTGGACTTAAATTAATACGCATGTGTGCTGTATTCAATGTTCATATGCTAAATGGGAGGAGTGATCGTGATAAGTTTGGTGCAATGACTTGTATAAAACATAATGGTTCTAGTGTTGTAGACTATGTCATTACTTCCACTGAAATGTTCAATCTTATTGACTATTTTTATGTTCAATGTAAAGACGAATCGGATCATCTGCCCTTAGAATTCCATATTCAATGCCATGTAGAAGGTTTCTTAACCGAAAGCACAAATATACAGACAACCCCCTACAACAAATATGTATGGAAGCCCAGTAAAAAGGACGAATTCGCTATGGAGATAAATACGAACTTTGATAATTTTAATTTTGAATTCAAACATTTACTGTTAACGGAGGTGGACCTGGCTATAGAATGTGTAACGAACTTTATTAAATCTTGTGCAAAATCAATGAACAGCAGGAAAAGGTCATATCATTTTAAAACAGAGGAGCAACCGCCATGGTTTGACTCCGACTGTGTAAATAGCAAGAATAGTAAGTACTGCGCATTAGATAAATTTAGACTTAGTAATTCTGTTATTGATTTGAAACTATTTAATACATGCAAAAATAAATTCAAAGAATTGTGTAGTTTTAAAAAAATAGAATATAATCGACATGTCTGTAATCAGTTACTTCAAAATTTAAATGATCCAAGTAAGTTTTGGCAGACTGTAAAAGGTTTTCGTCAAAAGGTTTCGGTATCTGACAGAATAACCCCAAGTCAATGGGTGAACTACTTTGAAACACTGCTAAATCCAATAACTGATTCACAGAGAGTAGATAATATTAATATTAATATTACAATTAGTGAGTCTAGTAATATTTTAAATGAACCTATAACATATTATGAAATTAAGAAATGTATAGACAATATGAAAGCAGGTACTTCACCTGGTCCAGACGGTCTAGGAATTGATTTCTATAAGTCATGTGTAGAACTAATAGGCCCAGTTCTCACAACTTTGTATAATACCCTATTTGATGAAGGCAGATTTCCAAACTCGTGGTCAAGGACCCTAATCACACCTCTGCACAAGAAAGGAACAAAACATGACCCATCAAACTACAGAGGCATATCTCTGACTGATTGTATCGGTAAAATATACTGTGCTGTGCTCAATAATAGATTACAAAATTGGTGTTGTGTCGAAAATAAGTATTGTGTAGCACAAGCAGGCTTTAGGAAAGGGTACTCTACTGTCGATAATATTTTTACTTTACATGGTCTTATTCAAAAATATCTCACAAAATCAAAGGGGAGAATGTATTCTTTATTTGTAGACTTTTCTCGTGCTTTTGACTCATTGAATCGAAAGAAACTATTAGCATTAATGCTAACAAAAGGTGTGAATGGTAAGATGTATTTAGCATTAAAAAGCATGTACTCAAATGTATTATCAAGTGTAAAAGTAGCATCCAACATAACCCCCTATTTTGACTGTTTATCAGGCGTTAAACAAGGATGCATATTAAGTCCTCTTCTATTTTGTTTTTATGTCAATCAACTCGTAGAAATGATGGAAGCTAGTGATGTAAGAGGGTTGTTCACTACGCAAGAAGCAAACGATATAATTATGTTATTATATGCAGATGATCTTAGCATATTATCAGACTCGGTTGGTGATTTACAAAGAAAACTAAATATTTTGTATAAATTTTGTACTAATTTTAATTTAAATGTAAACCTTTCAAAGACAAAGATTGTAATTTTTAGAAATGGTGGTATTACTAAGAATATCGAAGTGTTTTATTATAATAATGTAAAATTAGAAGTTGTTTCTTATTACAATTATTTAGGTATATTATTTTCGTCGCGATTATGTTGGAGTAAACCTTTGTATAGTTTAAGTGTCAAAGCTGATAAAGCTCTTATACCCGTAAAATGTCTTCTTAGAACTGTCGACTGTATATCCCTAGATCATGCTTTCAAAATATTTGATGTAATTATCAAGCCGGTATTGTTGTATGGGTCACAAGTATGGGGCTTCGAATACAGAGAAGATATTGAGAAAGTTCATAGTGCATATTGTAAATACATTCTAGGCGTACACAAATCTGGTACAACCGTTGGATCACTGGGAGAATGTGGCCGCTATGGTTTATCGGTATCTTATATTTCAAATTGTATTAAATATTGGGTCAAATTATTAAATATGACCTCAGATAGATACCCTAAGCAAGTATATATAATGTTGTGTAATTTAGATAGTGCTGGAAGGGAAACATGGGCGACCAAAGTAAAACATGTGCTTTGTTCTTTGGGATTCGGCTATGTATGGTTTAACCAAAATGTTGGAGACAAACGAATATTTATGACATTATTAAAACAACGATTAACTGATATTAACGCACAGGAATGGTCATCGAAACTAAACGAGAGCAGTAGTCTATCAGAATATAAATGTTTCAAGCTTAATTTAATTCCAGAACAATACTTGTCTGTACATATTCCAAAAGTAGCCAAAAGAAATATCACTCTGTTACGTTTAAACTTATTGCCATTATATGTAAATATGTTTAGAAGAAAATTAAGTAAAACAAATTTGTGTCCATTATGTGAATTAGAACCAGAAGATTCTTTTCATTTCATATGTAAATGTAAATTATTACAAGACACTCGTGTTAAATATTTAGATTTTGTAGACTCTTCCGATATTAATTATTTTTATAAATTGTGTACATATAAAGATAGAGAATCTTTATTATCTTTGTCAAATTTTATAAATGCAGCCATAAAGATTAGAAATCGTCAAATTATGAATTAAACTGTTTATTGTAAATAAATTAACACTTTTTAAAATGTTCATAATAGTAGCTAATTTATTTATTTAATGACCTGTTTGATATATTTGTATACATGTATATATTTATTATTTATATATTTACAACCTTGTAACTTTGGGTCGATGACCTGTTTACTGAATAAAACATTATTATTATTATTATTAAGGAGATTATACTATACTCACTCGGCTGAACATAAAGGGAAAGTTGACATAAGTTCCTATAAAGAGTAGAAGAAACGCCGCTTTCCGGGCAACCCCTTCCAATAATAGCTTTGCACACATGACTATAAAACACATGTTCTATTCTATCCAAGTTCTGTTGATAATAATTAAAGTGGCGTCATTCCAGACTACAAGGCAAATATGGAATTTCTAATAGCACACAATACAATCTGATTAAATTACAGATCTACGAGCGTATATTTCGTTTCGTTTTTTTTATACTTTCGATGGCTTACACTACATGAAGATCTGACAAGTTATACTCGAAGGTCGTGGCAGGGGTAGTACGAGTGGCTTTTGACCCTATGACGTCAGACATTGATTAATCAATCAGCGTTGACGTTTCTAGTGGTTTACCCACAGTTCCGTGCATGACACGCCAACAGCTAGACCGTTTCATTGACTTATCAATCACTACAACCAAAACGCTGGCTATATAACTACTTTTCCAGATCCTAGTGTAGGAATGAGAAGTAAAACGAAATTTTGAACTATAAAAAACGAAACGAAATAGGATCTGTCTTTTCATCGGATTATACACAATAAGACCCAGTCGCACTAAATCGGTTAGTCCTAACATTTAGCCTACCGAAGTCTACATTACTTTCTGTTGATTTCCTGTCGCTATCGTCTTTCCTCTCATACTCGCCATCTGAATACTGAAGGATAATCCATTCATAAAAGATCATCTAAATTTGTATTAGAAAAACTGCATATATCCTCATCTAGTCGCCCGGCAAATATATTTGAACACCGTAATCAATGAGACTGTAGTAAATGTCAACATTTCATTTCCTCAGGGATGAGTTTTAGGCGATGAGAGACTCATGCTCTCCAAAACCCCAATGTTACTAATTTTAAAAGATTAAATCTAATAGGCTGTGAAACTTGTACACTAATGATACGATAATTTCCCAAGTCTGAACGAGAACGGTTATCTTTTATAGGCCTACAAATATAGCATATTAATATACAAAAAAAAATTGAATACGTCATCTCGACGCATAGCAACCCCCAAATGATAGAAAATCGGGACACTTCAACTAAAGAGAGAGAGAGAGAGAGAGAGAGAGAGAGAGAGAGGGGGGGGGGGTTAACGTCAAAGCGACACAAACTGGTCATTTTTGGACTAACATATGGTTCTATTCTAATACAAACATTGCTTGCGCGCAAGGGTCCGTAGCAGTGGGAGGAAACCGGAGGACCCGGAGAGAACCCATGTGGTTGGACCCTACTCCTTGTCACATACAACTGGGGAATCGAAACCACGCCAGTTGACTCAATGACATACCTTATGATGCACACCATTCGGCCATCCAACCCAGCTCTTCAACTAAAGAGTATTATTGTTCATGATATCACAATAATCATTATAAAAATTACCATGTTATATTTCAAACTTGAAATATCTATATTGGTATCATAGGGTTTTTGATCTTTACTTGAAAGAAAAATAAGAAGGCATATCACGTGATTCAATGACCGCTTAAAAATTTGAAATGTAAATATATGATCATATGTTTAAGACATGGATCCGGGTTGATAAGCTCGTTGATGTATGATATATTGAAATACACCCAAGACCTGGACTAGTTCAGTGGTTACTCAATAGGTGAATTGACGGTTTGGACGCGAAGAAACAACTTTTATTTCTTCAGGATGGCTAGGAACTGGATTAATAGAACTAATGCCATGTACAATGTAAGAACTACCTTATTTTTATCATTTTAATTTAAAAAAAAAAAAAAAAAAAAAAAAAATAGTTCGAATAATTTTTTGTAAAATTTAAGGTATCTATATAAAGTTGAATAGAATAGAATAGAATGGGTTTATTGTAGTAATATAGGTCAAAGACCAAAAGTTACAAGTTTGAATCAATTAGAAAATGATATGTACAATTATATTTTAAAAGGTGCGAGTCATTACAAGATTATTAATTGTTGACAATCTGAGGTTTATATACAAATGTGATATATTTAACATAGATTTATGAGTGTTTAAAATTGTTTTTAAAAAGTTTGGATTATTATTTCTAAAATGTTTATATTTTCCTCTTCGTAACTTTAAAATGTACGGTATTTTTACGGAGTAAAATAATAATTTCAATTGGCATACATTTATCCAAAGCAATGTGAATTTTGCAAATTGTACATCTTGATTCTAGAACATAGGGGATGCCCTGAAATGAATTATGATGTTTGATTAAACCGCGGTTTTTCGTACCATCCGAATGATTAGACACTGCCTTTGACAGACCCCCACTGTCTGGGGCAAACTACGTGGAAATATTATGGGAAACTTTATCGAAAAACGCCGAGTTCGTACCTCAGATATCCTGGCACGTAAGCCTGCCTCTACCGTTTTAGCACTTATAAGTGTTTTAATTGTGGCTACATTGTTAGTTTTAACACTTAATTATATTTAACACTTAATTAGAAGCGTTTTAATTGTGGCTACGTTGTTAGTTTTAACACTTAATTATATTTAACACTTCATTATAAGTGTTTTAATTGTGGCTACATTGTTAGTTTTAACACTTAATTATAAGTGTTTTAATTTTGGCTACATTGTTAGTTTTAACACTTAATTATAAGTGTTTTAATTGTGGCTACATTTTTAGTTTTAACGCTTAATCATAAGTGTTTTTATTGTGGCGAAATTGTTAGTTTTTACACTTAATTATAAGTGTTTTAATTGTGACTACATTTTTAGTTTTAGCACTTAATTATAAGTGTTTTCATTGCGGCTACAATGTTAAATTGTGGCGAAATTGTTAGTTTTATTACTTATAAGTGTTTTAATCATTGATATATTTTTAGCTGTAAAACTTATAAGTTTTTAAATTATTTCTTTACTAGTCAGTTTTAGCACTTAAGTGTTTTAATTGTTGCTACGTTGTCAGTTTTATTATTTTCGTTATTGCTACGTTGATACATTTAGAACTTTCCAGAAGTCAATCAAATAGACCCATTTAGATTATGGACCCACTTGTGGACAAGGTGTGTCTTTTATTGCCCGTTTATATAATCACTATTTTTATTATTATTTTATACACATGTTCAACCCTTCTACAGATGCCCTAAATATAAGTGAATGATAAAACTAATAAGGATCTACCTACGTACATGTCTAACAATATTTGTGGAAGGTTTTATGGGGCAGTAAATCTCCGGTGAAGTGATTTACAAGTCAAATGTCGTCTGTAAATGTTCTGGGTTTTTTTACTTATATATGCCATGAACTAACACGCTTACAATATGCTGTAAATTTTTAAACAAGAAAAATAAAAGAAAACTAAACAAAATAAAACAAAATAATAAAGTAAAACAATAAAATAAAATAAAATAAAATATAATAATCAATAAATAAAAATAATCAATTGTGTGCCCAATTAAGGTATTAACCAATCTGATTCAAACACAGATCCTATTTCGTTTCGTTTTTTAGTTCAAAATTTCGTTTTACTTGTCTTTACTACACTGGAATCTGGAAGAGATGTTATGTAATCAGAGTTCTGGATGATG